ACCTCAATATAATAAAGGCCATATACAACAAATCCACAGCTAACTTTGTACTCAACAGTGAGCAAATAAAAGCTATCCCTTTAAGAACAGGAAGAAGACAAGAAGGCCCATTTTCACCAGTCTTATTTAACATAGCATTGGAAGTCCTAGCCAGAACAATTAGACAGGAAAAAGAAATAAAAAGGATCCAAACTGGAAAACAAGCAATAACACTGTCACTATTTGCAGACGATATGATTTTATATATAGAACATCTTAAAGAATCTGCAAAAAAACTCTTAGAAATAATAAATGAATACAATAAAGTTGCAGGGTATGAAACCAACATAGAAAACTCAGTTGCATTTCTATACACTAACAACGAAATAGCAGAAAGAGAAATTAAGAATACAATCCCATTTATAGTTGTAGTAAAAAGAATAAAATGCCTAGGAAAAAATTCAACCAAATATGTGAAAAACCTGTACACTGAAAACTATAAAACATTGTTGAAAGAAATCAAAGACACAAAAACATGGAAAGATCTTCCGTGTTCATGGACTATAAGAATTAATGTCATTAAAATGTCCATACTTCATAAAGTGATCTACAGATTCAGTGCAACCCCTATCAAAGTGCCAGTGACATTTTTCCTGGAAATAAAAAAAAAAAGATACCTGAAATTTGTATGGAATAACAAAAGCCCCCAAATAGCCAAAGCAACGCTGAGTAAAAAAGAACAAAGCTGGAGGTATCACATTCGCTGATTTCAAAATATACTACAAAGATATAGTAATCAAAACAGCATGGTACTGGAACAAAAACATACACAGATCAATCAGTGGAATAGAATTGAGAGCCCAGAAATAAACCCACACATCTATGGACAGCTAATTTCAACGAGGGAGCCAAGAATATACGGAGGAGAACGGAAATTGTTTTCAACAAATGGTGTTGGAAAACCTGGGCAGCCACATGCAAAATAATGAAAAGAGACCATTATCTTACACCAGACACAAAAATTAACTCAAAATGGCTTAAAGAGTTGAATGGAAGTCCTGAAACCATAAAAATTTTAGAAGAAAACATAGTCAATCTGATCCTCCACTTCAGTCTTGGCAGGATCTTTTTGAATACCATATCTCACTGGGTAAGGGAAACAGAAGAAAAAATAAATGGGACTACATTAAACTAAAAAGCTTCTGCACAGCAAAGAAACCATCAACAAAATCAAAAGACAATCTAACAATTGGGAGAAGATATTTGCAAATTGTATATCTGATAAGGGGTTAATATCCAGAATATATAAGGAACTCATACAACTCAACAAGAAAAAACCAAGCAACCCAAGTAAAAAATGGTCAAAGGATCTGAACATTTGTCCAAAGAAGATATCCAGATGGCCAACAGGCACATAGAAAGATGTTCCACCTCACTAATTATTAGGGAAATGCACAGCAAAGCTATGATGAAATATCACCTCATGCCCGTCAGAATGGCTATAATGAACAAGATAAAAAATAACAAGTGTTGGAGCAGATGTAGAGAAAAGGAAAACCTTATACACTGGTGGGAATGTAAACTGATGTAGACACTAGGTGAAACAGTACGAAGATCCTCAAAAAATTAAGAATAAAGCTACCATATGATCCAGCTATTCCACTCTGGGTATTTATCCAAAGAACATGAAAACACAACGTTGAAAAGATATTTGCACCCCTATTTTCATTGCGGCATTATTCACAATAGTCAAGACTTGGAAACAAACTAAGTGTCCATCAATGGATGAGTGGCTGAAGGAGATGTGGTATGTATACCGAATAGAATACTACTCAGCCATAAAAAAGATGAAATCTTGCTGTTTGCAACAACGTTGATTGACCCTTAGGGTATTATGCTAAGCAAAATAAATTAGATGAAGAATTTCAAATACCGTATGATTTCACTTATAAGTGGAAGATAAAAACAGCAACAACAGCAAACATATAGTTGTAGAAATTAGATTGGTGGTTACCAAGGAGAAGGGGGGAGAAGCAGGGTGAAAGGGATAAAGGGCACATGTGTATGGTGATGGATGGTAATTAGTCTTTGAGGGGCGAACATGATATAGTCTACACAGAAATATAAATATAAATATAAATCAGTTCACTTGAAATTTATACGATGTTATAAAATAATGTTAACTCGGTAATAAGCAAAAAGAAACGTTGAGTTTTGTTCATTTGCTTGTTTTATCAGGGAGTTAACTGTGCTGGACTCAAACTCAAAACTCTGAATTTTCAGTTTAGTTCTTTTAACTCTAGGTGAGTTATTTGGAGTTTAGTCCACACATGCCTAATTTAAGGGTTATCCAGGGATTTGGGAGATTTCATAGAGAGAATTTAGAGTTCCCCTTCTCTGGCTCTTTTCTTTACTAGGATTTATCTGCTTTCTTTTGAGCTTCTGTGCAGGCGATGGACCTGAGTGTTGCCACTGGTTTGAAGAATGAGTGAGACTGCTGGCTTATAGCCAAGTGTTAGTCATCTAATAGTTTGCTGCCTGGGACCTGTCCTCAACATAACATCATGAAAATGGAAAACTCACCTGGTCCCGTTTGCTTTTTTCAAGAATTTTCTGCACTTCAGTACCTTCATGATTTTGGCCATGCTCCAGAATGTGTGTGTGTGTGTGTGTGTGTGTGTGTGTATTTCAGAGTTTATAGTTATTATTTGTTGGAAAATTCTTTCAATATGAGCTTCTCAACCATTACCCTGTTGATATGTCTCTAAGTTCACGAACCTTTTCTTTCGCAGTCTCTAATGCTCTTAATGCCATCCAGTAAAATGTTCATTTTTAGAATTTCTATTTTTATAGTTTTAATTTCTCTGCTGATATTTCCTATCTATTCCTTTATTATTACTAACTGTTCCTTTAAGTACTTGAATGTACTCCTAATATGAAATTCTTGTGTGAGTCTAACATCTAGGATATTATGGCATCTGCTTCTATTGACTATTTTTTCTTTAATTATGGGTCACGTTTCCTTCTTTTTCACTTGTTTAATAATTTTTTTACTACATGCTTAAATTTTTGAATGATGCTTTGTGGGGAATCTGGATTATGCTGTCTTCCTTTAAAGGACATTGACTTTTATTTTCACAGGCAGCTAAATTACCAACAGGTGTTTTCCAGTCTGTGAAGCTTACTATAATTCTTTGTCATTGTAGATTAATTTCAATTTTGAATTTAGTCTTTGGGCATGGCCCTTAGTTCAGGGTGGGTTCCTTAATCCAACAACTTAGAATTTTGGGAGTCACTGGAGAAAGTCTGAGGTGTCAAGAACATTCTCTCCTCTAGCTGGATTGGGACTTCAACTTCCCTATCACTGCACAACATCTGGTATCCACCTTCAGTTCTCAGATCTCCAGCAGTCATGCTCTGACAGGCTCCACGGAGTTTCCTCCCATATATGTGCCACCCAACCCAAAGCCATGGACTTAAGATAATAGTCTTGTATACTTTTGAGGTCCCCTCATTTGTAGATTCCTCCAGTCCTGTACCCTTTCTCACGAATTCTAGGTGCCAAATTTTGATCTCTGTCTTTTCGGCTCAAAAAGAGCACCACTTTTCTTGGCACTAACCTCTCTGCACTCTAGGAGGAATGTGTTGTCAGGTAGAAATTCAGAGTGATTGTAGGGCCTACCTAATTTTCTTTAGTAAAGTATCACAATCCTGGATTGCCCCTTGTTCAATGCTGGAAGACTGTTACTTTACATATTTCTTCTGGATGTATATTTGCTCTAGTTGTGAGGGCATCTCCAAAGCAGCTACTCTATCATAGCCTGAAGTAGATGGTCCCATCAACCAGGAGAAGTGTTTTGTCACAGATTAACTTTACCTGGAAGCCTGTTCTAGGGCTGAGCATACTATCTTCCTATACTTCATGATCAGGGCATTTCTCTAAGTCCAGCCAGGGCAGAAAATGGATCACAAGAGTAGTTGTGTTATAGGGAAGAGGGTCAGGAAATATTGAAATTTCAGTTTCTCTTTCATTTCTGCATATGGAAATGACAGTCTATGCATTCTATCCATGACTTTTCTGGAATAAGAACTACAACCTGTATTTGGAAAGGCCATACAGTATACCGGAAAGCATCCAGACAGAGGTGGATTTGAATTTTGCCTCTGCTATGTAATAAATGTATGACTTTATTAAAAGATCCCAAGGTATTATAAATGAAATCATTATCATCATAACAGTAACAAAATTTCCCTTTATTGAGCATTTTCGCATGTGGTAATATTTGTGTAAGAAGTATTTAGTATATTGTCTCATTTTATGCTTACTATAAACTAACCCAAATGTTGTTTACATTTTGCTAGTGATGAAAATTAGGCATGGAAATGTTAAACAACTTACCAATGGTCATAGAGAGAAAGACTTGATTGATTCTGAAAACTAAATTCCAAGTCATGGTTACATTATATCTCTAAGTTTTGGGAAATCCTACTAGAAACCAGAAATGCTCTCTCATTTCCACAAGAATATGCAAGAATTCCCTTGACAGAACATCGCAGAAGGAGGGGCATACTTACATACAAAGTTTCTCATCTTGACAGCAAAGTGAAGGGTTTTCCAGAATACAGCCATTAAAAGGTAGAATTTTGAAGAAGTCTGAATACTTGGTTCTAAATAAATGAGCTGGATTTTCAGTGATATCAGCACTTTTAGACAATACTGCAATTTATTTGTCAAGAACAGTGCACTCTATAGAGCTTCATCAATTTTCTGAAAAGGAAGTATCGGTGTCTGGCTACAAACTGAAGAGGATGGAGTCCACGAACGTTGTCCTGGAGTGTCATTATATAAGACCTGTTAGGCTTGGTCATTAATTTGTTGTGTGACATGGAACAAATAAATTCTCGTTTTTGTGCCTCAGTCTCCTCATCTATAAAGCAAAAGGATTAGATGAGGGGAATTTTTGTTTTCAAGCCGCATGACCTTCTTTATAACCCAGTTTCTCTGTTTCTCTTTGTATCAGGGTACAGCCATATTAACATCTCTGACTTCTGTCCTGCGTGATGACAAAGAGTTTCCCAACCCAGAGCAGTTTGATCCTGGCCACTTCCTGGATGAAAGTGGCAACTTTAAGAAGAGTGACTACTTCATGGCTTTTTCAGCAGGCAAGCAAGCTTCATTTTTATCTCTACATCAGGGGTCAAGTGAGATGAGGAAGAGCTTTGCATGGAGGCTACTCTGGGCTGGACGAATTGTCATTTGTATGAGGCCAGAGGCACCACTCCCAAAGTCCCGGTTATTTCTCCTTGGATTGGAGGCTGCAATGACTAAATTTACCCCGTATCCCACCACTGAGATTCCTAAGAGCTCCCCGCAAAGTCCAATTCCACTACTATTTTTTCACCTGCCTTGAAAAGCCGGTTCACTCAATAAACTTCTCTGAGGACTTATATACAGCAGATCCGTGCTCAAATTCAGGGATGCAAATGTGAATCAGAAACAGAGCATCTCTCTAGGAGACAGGAAGGTAAATTAAGGGGCAGTGAGACTCCTGAGTGACAAATTCTCTTTGAGGGGCCGGCCACTGTGGGTGCCCACAGAGAGGAGCTCCTGACTCTTGCCTTTTGGGGACAGGGGCAGAGGGCAGAGTAGTTGGAAGGTAATGCAAATTTTCTTGCAGGAAGTAGCATTTGAATATCTTCCTTCAATTTGGCAGAGTCCGGTAAGAAACAGGTGGCACACTCAAAAAAAGTTTAATTAAAGAGATTTTAATGAAGAGACTGTTTTCAGATGTGGGCAGGATTAAGGGAAGTAACAAGTTATGGTGACATACTCAGGAATGAGCTACAACAGGAAGATGTTACCACCCTAGGTCAGAAGGGGCAAGGGAAAGAGGGTATTACTAGAATTACTGGAACCCAAATAGACCTTTAGCAAAGAGAGAGTGGATGCCTCAACCACAGATGCATCTGTAGATAGAGGAATACAGCTGGTGCCTAAACTGTGATCTGGCAGGGAGCATTGAGGGAATAAATACTCTGACCTCTTCAATATGTAATCCTCTGAATTTATTCAGAACCCAAAATGGAAATAACTTCTGGGTTTATGCAGTCCCTAGAATCAGCTTCCCAAACACAGCATAGGCATGGAAGACAAACAAACACAGAATGGATCTGAAGGAGGGAGGGATGGAGAATATTCAGCACAGTCCAAAGGAGAAGCAGGGGGAAGGGCAGAGGGTGAAGGGCCTTTCCTACTGGAGTAACTGAAACAGGGACAAAAATAGGAAATCTACTCCTGATTGAATATCTAAGAAAATACATATTGAGAAACTCTGGGTATTGTGGCCCCAAGAGTATGTGCAGTGTCCAGGATGATCTCAAAACAGGACTCTGCTGTACTGCTCCTGGTCTTTCTTCCTGTGTTTTGGGTCCACTATTGCAGAATGAGCCTGCTTGAGATTTCTATTCAATTCGCAGGGATTACAGGCCTGCTTTTGTCCTGACGCTGTGGGAATCATTACAAGATCTAAGGCCTTATCTTAAGATTTTGTACTCCAGTCTGTGAGACAGATGAATAAATATAATTTCATGTGAACTGTGCTGTATTAGAAGTATTAATGAGTGTTGTGGAGAGCAGATAAGGGAGTGAATTGTACACCCTGAGCAGGTGAAGGAACTTTTCATAGAATAAATGACATCTGAACTCATTCTATAAGCTTGTGGAGAATATCAGCAGGCAGAGCGGAGGGGAAGATTATTTCAGTTGAGGAATGACTGGAATCTCAGTTAACATTTCCAATTGCTAGTCTGTGTAGGGGAGTAGTGAAGAGATAGCAGTGCTTGTGGCTCGTTCGTTATATGTCTTTATATACTTCCCAATGGTAAGCTCTTGAAATGTTTTAAAGCAGAGATGTGACGAGTTTAAGATTCTCCTTTAGAATCCAGATAAAGAGAAATAAATCTATTGTTGAGCCTTGGGAGGTAGATGGAAAAGTATAGTGTGTATCTGATGCCAATTGGGATAGGTGAGTGTGTGTGTGTGTGTGTGTGTGTGTGTGTGTGTGTGTAGAAAGACATCATTGGCTAGCCTCAGCAAAGCAATTTCAATGTGAGTGTACATAAAATATTTTTCCATATAGCATGCACACAGAAATATGTGCTGAGGAAATGAAAGAAACCAGGTTTGGGTGTAGGTGGAAGAAGCCATAGGTTAATTAGTCATTTATTAATATATTTCTTTATTCATTCCACATTAATTTAAGCCTCCACGTGTGCTAACTCAGAAATAGAATTAAATGAATATTTAATTTATGTGTCATTTTTAGGAAAAAGAGTTTGTGTTGGAGAAGGCCTGGCCCGCATGGAGCTGTTTTTACTCCTGACCACCATTTTACAGCATTTTACCTTAAAACCTCTGCTTGATCCAAAGGACATTGACACCACCCCAGTTGTCAATGGGCTAGGTTCTATACCGCCCTTCTATGAGCTCTGTTTCATTCCAGTCTGAATAAAGAGCAGGCTGTCAGATCTCAGAGCGAGACTCTCCAGCCTCATCTGAACAAGCCAGATGCTTTCTGTCCTGGGTGTTAGCCATTATCCACCTCTCCCTTAACAGCAGAAATGACATTCTGAGCCCTGTCTCTTCTAATTTTCCCCATCCTTTAAGACTCAGTTCAAATTTCCCTGCATGAAATAAAGCTCACCGTTTTGTCTCCAATGAGCTTCTTTTTATAACACAATTTTAAATCTAAACTACATCTCATCTGCAGTGTGTGCAAAATTGAAGGCATCTGATACATGTTGTATTTCTTTTATTAAAAATTAAAAATTGGAAATTATCCCATGAGTTAGAACTTTTTTAAAAACAATAATATATGAAATTCACTCATCTCTTTTTCCTATCTAGCTCTCCGGGGGAATGATCTCTTGACAATTTGGCATGTATACTTTCCGCATTTTCCCTATGGTTATTCAAATGTGATGCATATATTTGTATAGGTGTGTGTATATGTATGTATATACACGTAGCAGAAAACAGAGGAAAATCATTTCACTCAGTGGGAATAACATGAGATAAAACTTGAATTTGTTGGTCTGTCCAAGAGTATCCTTCCTCTTCTCCCCTAGTGGTTAAAGTCGTATGCACACAGATATATTAAGGCAAAGAAGAGGGGAAGATAATATGTATGAATGGTTATATTTGAACACACACATCCAGAAATATACATGAGTGTTTTTATGTGTATGTTTGTGCATATATACATACACACATATGTATATATTTATATGTAATATAAATATGTTTATATACACATATATATTTATAAATAATATAGCTATGATTTGATGGTGACATTTATATAGTAACATATAGTGATACAAGCAGTATAAATAAATATATCTCATAATAACCTGTTGAATGGCTAAATAATTTTATAATATTTAATAATATTAAAATTACCTCACTATTCAAGGATATTTAGATTATTTTTTAACTTTTGCTACTTTTGAACTTTTGTTACATGCTACTACGTGCATATATCTTTTATTATTCCTGTACTATTTCTTTATGATACTTTCCTGGATGTGATGTGTCTACACATATATCTGCACATTTATTTTTCATAGATACTGAAGCATAATGCACTAAAAATTATATATGTTTACTTTTCTATCATGAGTGTAATAGAAACACTATTTGACCAAACCTTTGTATATGCTGCAGATTGAATTTTTTGGTACACTTAGTAATTTTTACTTATGTAGGATATCCTATCATCTGCAAATAATATTTTGTTGCAATGACCAGAAATCTTCTGAAATAACACCTATATCTATGTATCTCTGTCTGACTCATCACACACACACATACACACATATATTTACATACATATTTGTTTGTCAACATGGGAAAGTGATAAAAGTTATGAGGATTTGTGGGGACAAGACCACAGAGGGTTTGGGACATCCATATTGGGAAGACTGATTTTTTATGTGATTTTACCCTTGACGTGATTGCTGATTTGAAATCAAGATCTGAGAGGCAGAAAGCCTGACTATAAAATGTCATTTTCCTAAATTAGACTTTAGAACCTGAAAATAATTTTTGGCACATTCCCAGGGCTAGTAGGAAAAAAATGGAGTTCAGAGCTAGCCAAGCAGGAAAGATCAAGTAAACACTTGAAGCTTGAAGGTGGCAATGAAGGTCTGCAACCAAGGATTAAGAATCAGCCTGAATTTGAAGAATCCTTATAAGACTAGAGTCCTCTTTAAATAATTTCAATCACTGAGTGCGTTACATTGATCCTCCCCTAAATATTTTCTGCTTGATGAGAGCATACTTTTGGCTGGAGCAAGGTAATGTCACCCAGAGCCTCAAATTATCATTGCATTATTTGCTGGACAATGTGTAGCACTCAGTAAAAATAAAAACTCAGCTAACAAAACATGTGATCTTCTCAATAAATGTACAAAAAATTGATAAAGTTCAACATTTGTTTATGATAAACATTCTAGCAAATTGATAAAAATATGGGATTTTCTCATCCGAAAAAGATATCTCCAAAATCCTAGACAATGTTTATATCATGGTGAAATGTTGAACCTTTCGCCCGTAAGTTTGAAAAAAGTAAAGTTATACACTCTCATTAGTTCTATTCAATTTTAGACTGAAGGATGTGAGAAAAATGGTGTGGAATAATGACTTCAGAAAATTCTCTCCAACATAAAACAACGTGAGCACCAACAAAAATCACCTTTTTCAGAACTCTGGAAATTAGCCAAATCCTTGCATCAATCTGCAGTGTTTTCAGGAAAAATGGATAAATATCAGTAAGAACTATGAGCTTTGTGGTATTTTAACTTGCCTTATTCCCTTCCTTGATCTCCCCAGCCCTGAGGTAGCTTGCAAAGCTATAGACAATAATCATGTCAAAAGCTGCCAGCTAACAGCCACTGAAGGTGGCAGACGGAGTTGGAGCTCCTTCAAAGCCTTATTCCCAGAGAATTGTCATTAGTTGACCTATCTTGTGGTTCCTTAGAAATAACCGACATGCAGGATTTTCTTTATTTGGTCTGACTATGAGCTTGCCAAGAACGAACAGCCTTTTCTCCAGACGCATTTGTTGAAAACAATTAGAAGCCATTTCTGAAAAGTGTGAATGCCTGGAGCTGTGGATAACAGTTGGGGAAATCAATAGACTAACCAAAAAGCTTAAAAGGAAAAGCCGGGGAATGAGATGTTCATAAGAGGCTTTGAAAAACTGTGACATATTACTGAGACATTATGGAAGTCCACACATGCTCAGAAAGACCTGAGAAGACCCTAAGCTCTCACCTCTGGCTAACCTTAAGGCTCTGTGTAAGCAAGAAGTGAAGAAGGCTAAGGCAGAATAATAAATAATAATAAACCGCCTGAATGAGTGTTGAAGTCATGCTCCAACACACAGATACCTCCTCTTGCAAAAACTAGGAGATTTTTCAGTTCTAAACTACTAAGGAAATATCTGTCTAATCATTAGATGAGCAGTAAGCTAGTTAGCAGAGGCTTTAGTGGATGCACATGACAAAGAATAGAAACTTTACAGAACTAGTTCAGAGTGTTCACTCAACAAAAATAAACATAAACTGTTAGGAATGTTCTATTTAGGTCTTGAGGGTGTAAACGTGTATCTGAATAAAAGTATACTGCTGGTGGTAAAGGAGTGTGGCCATAGGAACTGGATACAAGGTTAATATAAAAATGAATTTTATTTCTTTATATTAATGACACATAATTAGATGATGATATTGTTAACCATATAAAATAGACTAAACCCCTCCTCAGATACCTATAAATAAATCTAGTGTATAATGCACAACACCTCAACACTGCAAACTACATAATATTGCTGTGAGAAATTAAAGAATACCCAAATACATGGAGAGTTATACCACATTCATAAATTGAAAAAAATTAATATTCTTAAGTTGTCAGTCCTCAAAGTGTACTGTGGAGTAAATGAATTCTCAATCAAAATCTTATCAGAATTTCAGTGGGAACTGACCAAAAGATACTAAAATTTGTGAGGAAATGCAAACAAGCCATTATACTGACGACAACATAGAAGAAGAAAAAGAAGAAGGAGTAGAAGGATGGAGGACTTACACATCAGATATCAACACTTACTTTAAAGCTCTAATAATTAGGACAGTGTGGTATTGGCAGGTGGATAGCAACTTGGAATGGAATAGAATAGAGTTTATAAACAGACTTACACCTATATGGTCACGTGAGAATGCCACTTAATTTAATAGGAAAAGGATGATCTCAATAATTGATGCTAGATGAAATGGATATTCAGTTGGAAGAAAATGCAACTTGTTCCCTACAAGTTGTTTACAAACAGTAATTTGAGAAGGATCATAGATAGAAGTGTGAAAAATAAAACTATAAAGCCTCTAGTGTAAAACATAAGACGAAGTTTTTATGTCCTTGAGATCTGCAAACAACTTTTAAAAATAGGACACAAAAATCACTAATTATAAGAGATCGATAAATAGGTCTTTATTTAAATTAATATTTCAACTCTTATTCATCAAAATGTGCCGTTTAAGCTAATCAAAAGGCAAGCTACAGAGTGGGAGAAATACTTGCAGTTAATATATCAGTGAAAGGGTTTATAATCAGATTACATAAAAAACTAAAAAAAAAAAGACACCCTAAATATTTTTTAAATGGGAAAAATGTTTGAACAGTCACTTCACAGAAGAGGATATCCATGTGGTCATGAGAAAAGGTACTCAAGTTTATTAGTTATATTGGAAATAAAAATTAAAACCACAAATGAATTACTAATACATACCAACCAAAATGGAAAAAACAAAGGCTGAAAATCCCAAGTGTTCATGATGATGTGCTACAATTGAAGCTCTCATATATTGCTGGTGGGTGAATAACTTGTTTCAAAACTCTGAAATGTTTGCTCATATGTTCTAAATCTAGACGCATGCCTATCCTTAGAGTCCAGAGACTTTACTCTTAGTTGTATACCCTGGAGAAAATGTGTGCACACATCTAAGAAAAGACATGAACAAGAGTGTTCACAATAGCTTTCTTCATAGTAGCCACAAACTGGAACTAACCCATTGTCCATTAACATTAGATAAACATATCATGTCATATTCATGCAATGGAATACAACTATCAATTAAAAAGTACAAACCAGAGCTACTTGTGGAAACATGTGTAAATATCATAGATATAAGGCTGAATGAAAGAGCAGACATCAAAAAATGCATTGTGTAAGATTCTATTTTTGTACGTTTGTAGAATAGGCAAAACTAACCTTCATTGACGGAAGTCAGAATAATGGTTTATTCTGGTGAGTAGACTGGAAAAGGCCAAGGGAGAGCGTCCTGGGGTGTTGGAAAATGTTTTAGATCTTGATGTGGATGGTGCTTATGAAGGTGTATAGATATGTAAAAATTCACCAAAAAGTCTATTTAAAATTAACGCACTTTACTGGATGTATTTTATATTTCAACAGAGCAAAAGCTAAATCAAATAAGCACACTTACAGAAAACAAGATACTTACAAAATTATGAGAATAAAGAGAAGACCATAGAAAGAAAAAGCTGTTAAATCTAAGTACTAGAATTATCTGAAAGTGGCAATATAGCAAGTATGACGGAAATGTTTATAGAAATATAAACAGAAAGATAAAGAATGCCAGCATAAAATCAGAAAATATTAAAAAA